TATGGTAGAACAGAGTTAGAGCTTGCTGCAGTTGATGGGAATTGTGCACTGCTGCCTGGCAAATAGCAGCCTGTGTCATGGACTCACAGAATGGTTTAGGTCTGCTATTCCACCCCCTCTGCCATGGACATTTTTTCACTAGATCAAGTTCTTCAGAACCCCTTCGAACTAGATGTTAAAGATTACCAGGGATGGGGCATCTGTCACTTTCCCTGGCCAACCAATCCCAGTATCTCACCACTCTCACTGTAAAATTTTCCTCCTCATATGCAGTCTAAACCCTACACTCTTTCAGTTCAAAATTTGTCCCTTGTCCTTAGGTCCTGATAAAGTCTCTCTCTCCGTCTTTCTTACAAACTGTCATGGAGCCTTCTCGTCTCCAGACTGAACAGCCCCAGCTCTCTTGGCCTTTTGTCATCAGAGAGGAGCTCCAGCCCCAACTGTTTTTCTGGCCCTTCTCTGGACCCACTCCAGCAGGGAGGACTCCTGTGCAGGTAAGTACCTTGTCTGACTCAAAAGGGAAGGCTACACTGGTTTGTAATTAGTAAGGGGAAAAGTCAATTTTATGCTTAGGAGAGCACTGTTAATGAATACCCAGGTCTGACTGACTGCAAAGCCAGCGTGCCTTGGAGCTGGTGCCTGGATGGTTACCCAAGGCCAGACTTGCTGAACCTGCAGGGCCCGTTTGGCCGTGGTACCCTTGTTTCCTGTCACAGGAGAGGCTCTGTGTGTGTGCACGTGCGCTGAGCACACGCAGAGGGAGGACACCAGCTCCGACAGTGGAAAGCAGCTCGTTCGTGCTTAGCTGGCCAGCAAGGTGCTAGACCATGTCAGCATTTCTGCTTCTCAGCTGAGGCAAAGCCTCTGCTGCTTGGCTGTTGGCAAGCCTGGTGGTTGCTCTGCTTCCTGCCTTCCCCATATGGTGGCTTGTTTAAAAATAAGACATTTACAAGGAGCAGAAATTGTAAAAGTAGGCTAACCAGAAAGGGATTTACAGCAAATGCTTGGAAGGGAGCTGGAAAATGTTAGGAGGATCCCATCACTGGCAGCTACACCTTTACTATGTTAATGTCTTACTACTGCTCTGAGTAATCATCCTTAGGAACTGCACCTGGAGAAGACAGGATCTTCCAACTGCTCTTCCTCTGCCCTGAGGCTGTTCCACCCCACATACTCTCAACAGCAAACATGGGCAGTAAAACCAGCATTCATTCCTCAGTGGTGCTTATCCAGTATCCCCCCTGCAGTGGATATGATGGAAGGTGGCAGATGACAGAGGGTCCAGGAAAAGGCAGCATGATGCCAACACCTGGGTGCTGTGTCCTCATGTCAACCTCCTACTCTGCTGAGCCTTTCCAGGCTCAGGTCCTGGAGCTGACAGGACTTGTAGGCCATGACATTCTTTGTATTCCCACTTGGAACAAAGCTGCTGCTTCTTTTCCACTTGCAGTCACCTTGTTGCTCAGGTGGTCCCATTTTTTTCTAGCATGTACAGCCCCTGAAGTTTGAAGAGCACCTAAGATGATGCTGGGGGAAGGCAGGTGGCTGCTTGTGAACAAGTGGTCCTGCTTCAAAATACATCCGTGTAATGCCCATGCTGGATATGGAAACAGCAGCAGGGAACAAGGTAAGTCCTATTCTATTCTGTTGGAAGTAAATCATGGTCACTTAAGAAGGCCAGAAAAGTTACTTGAAAAAGTTATTTTGTTAGTTTTCTCCACGAGGTGTTCAATTCCCAGGGTACACACTCCAATTCCTCTGAAGCAGCTGTTCTGAGATTTGCAGAAACCTTGAATCATCAGAATCAATTACATCAACTTTAATAAGCTTCACAATAAAGACTGTTAATCAATTACCACTGTTTTCATCTGCCATAGGGGTCCTGCAGCTGTTTTTATTTTAAAACAATCCACTACTGAACCAGAATATGCAACTGGAATGAAGCATATTAAATCAAGATGAACATTATGAGTGTAGAACAATCAATCTGTAATTTTACCAGGATGATGAACTGTCCCTGTTGTCCCTCGCAGTGCTGAGCCTCTACACACAGCACAGATAATCCTCTCACAGTAGTGCTGGGGCTGGGAGTTACTGCACAGCTGAGGCTGCCGAGGAACACATGCTTCCCTACTTCCTTGGAAGTAGGCAGGTAAGGTTTATAACTCTGTAATTAAGATTTTTTTTTTGTCTTAAAAACGTTTATTTGCAGGATGTTAGTTTTCTTGCTCTAGTTTTCAACTTCAATAAATCTTCACGATAATAATGCGTCATTGTGCATAGGGATTTCAATTGCTTTTCTTTAAGCAAAATCAATTACATTTTAAATACCTCTGGCTTTTTGTTTTGTTTTTTTTTTTCTTTTCGTTTGAAAGTGTGAAAAAACTGCATTGCAAAGGATTCAAAGCTAAAGTTAATTTCAAAAACTACATATTACAAGAAATCAATTCTTAAAATGAACAACTTGGTAGTGCTGTTGCTGGGGGGGAGGAGAGGAAGAAAAAAAATCCCCTGCAACTACAGTAGTCTTGAGTAAAAGGGATGATCATTCAGAAGCTTTTCGACCTAAGAACATGGTGATGATTCAGAACATCTTTCACTGAACTTCTCCTATGCTCTCAATTGTCCCAATCAGGACAGCAGTTTGTGTGTGTGTGTGTGTTTTGTTTTGTTTGTTTTTTGCTTTGTTTTGTTTGTTTGTTTGTTTTTAATCCTGGAAGTCTAGAATCTATGACCTAAAAAACAAACATATACATTTTTTGAGCCTTAAGGAACATTTAATTGGCTTTTTTGAAGTCAATACAGTCTCCTCTTTGCTTTTAGCTTAACTGCTTCAGCTACTAAAAAGCACTGGAGTGGATTGTCCACAAGTGTTTTAGCAACTACCAAGATGAGTGTAATCCAGAGCAAGTTTAGCAACCACAGACTTGCTTAAGGTTGCAAGAATCTGTTTAATGATTTCAGTGGTAACCCAGCTGGGCTGAAAAGCAGCCTGGCTATCCCTTGAGCACCTAACATTTTTGGTATTGCAGATAATTACAGCCTGAGATGAAGAGGATTTCGGGCAAACATTCTCTGTTGTGAGTACAAACTAGCACTCATAAGTGTAAGTCCATCCTAGTGTAAACCTTAGGTATTTCCCAGTTAATCCCCTTTGTAGATGTCTTATTTACTGCCAGAACTGCAGCCCCAAGTCAGGAGTTCAGCCCCCCCTTAACACACAAGAAAGTTATACATTGCAAAAAAGGTGGCTTATTGAGCAAGGAGCTGCCAGTACTGAACAGTATGAAATATTGTGGAAGGACAAAAGTTTTGTCTTTAAAAAGTGTTAAGCATCTACATCAGGTTCTCTGACTTCCTTACCAGCCTCAGTGTTGGGGCCCTGGGTGGGCTGAGTGCAAAGATAAGATCAGAGTGTTTTTTCCCATTACACATGAAAATATGCTGCTAAGCATCTGAAGAACTTCTCTGGCAAAAGTTGAAGTACCTTGACACTTCCAGGCTAGGGGGTGGGACAACAAACACTACAGTTTTGAACAGAGATGTTTAAAACTTGCTGAGGCTTCAGCCAGATGAACTCTGATCAGTCCAACGCCCCATCCACTGACAGCTTTTTAATGGAGGCATCAATGCACATTAATGCTGCTTGGTGGAACCATCAAATGATGTTCCACTGCGCTCAAGAAGCTGGTCAGTTCAGTGAACTTCTATATTTATACAATTATTTTCAGGTACTCAGATATTTAATAGACCATGAGGCAAGGATTAACTGAGGGTACAGTTAACTGGTAGTGAAAAGCTTCACCAATGTAAAATGAGTATCAACCAAATTAAAAAAAATGCCAAATATAATAAATTGTAAAGCAGGTCCTATACAGTACATAGAACTTGTGATGTTAACTGGCTACTGACATATCCTCAAGCTGTACCAGGGGATGTTCAGGTTGGACATCAGGAAGAATTTCTTCCCTGAAAGCGTGGTCAGGCATTGGAACAGGCTGCTCAAGTCGGTGATAGAGTCACATGCCTGGAAGTGTTAAAGAAAAGACTGGACGTGACACCTAGTGCAGTGTTTTAGTTGACATTGTGGTGTTTGGTCGAAGGTTGCCCTCGATGATCTTGGAGGCCGTTTCCAACCTTTGTTATTCTGTGATCTTTTTCCCCTTCTTTTGCTGTGAAAGGAGAGCAGCGAGGCAAAGGGACATGGCCTTGAGTTCAAATTTTCTATCTGTCCTACAAAAACTAAATGAACTGTAGGTACTGTCTAAAACAAGCATCTTTGGATGCTTGTTATATATCAATTGAATAGCACACCAGCACTCCACTGGGAATAAAGTTGTGGTTTTTTGTCAAAATCATTTTATTAAAGAGTTAATGTCACAACAAGCTCAAAATAACACATGCTTCAGAAATAAACGGAATGAAAAATTATCAGAACAGAAACATGAATGGTTTGAAGGCATGATAAAGCATCAGTTTGAAGAAACTTCTGCAAACAGGTGCAAATTCTGTTGGTGCAATGGAGAAAAACCTCAGAAAAGAAGCCTCCTGGGCATGACTTCTGTTTATGTAGTGCAGTTTGTCTAATAAGTTAAATCAGAAAGGGCACAATTTCCATGGCTGCACAGACCCAAATTTACTTCTTTGATAATTAGCCCCAGCACAGGTTTTTCACTGTGACTACTAACAGAACAAATTCAGTTGACATCTTAACATAGCAGTAATATATATATCACAGACATGATAGATGTTTGACTCGTGCAGCCTCCTCAGTTACATGATTTTGTTTTTAATTTACTCAAGAAACATTATAAAAAAATAGGTTTGCAATTTGTATTTCACTCCAGTGTTAGCTCCGCATCACCCCAGGCAAAGACAGTGTTTTAGCAGATAATCTAATTTGGCAAGAAATCTGCCCTAATTCTTAACCTTATTTTTGTAAATCCACGTAGAAAATAAATGTGAACTCTTTATACAAAACAAGAGCAAATAACTGTACCTATATAAAAGGGGATTCATTCCCTTTAGTTTTATTATCATGGCACATACTTTATAGTTTCACAACAGCATACTAACTTTCATTTTTTTTAACTCCAAAATAGTGTTGATGAAGGGAAGAATGTAAGTTACCAGAGGCAGCTGACTCATGCATTAAGCAATTCATGTTCTTTATCAGTTTTCCCAACAGCATCAGGGTTGGATAATGGGTCAAGGTCAGCAAAGAGACTGAACCAAGCAGTCAAGTCTTTAGGATTCTTTGTAGATTCTGGAAAATAAAAGAGAAAAAAAGAAAAGTACAGGCTTGTCAGCTATTTTAAACCAAAACTGACTGAATGTTTGACTGAGTTCATGCTATTTGACAAATGCCATGCTATTGTTTAATTTATTACTTAGGGCACTTCTGACAAGAAAATCGGAACGAGAGATTGCATTTTAAAACACTATCTTTATCAGAATATAGAACTTTAGCAAGAATGAATGTTTTACATCTGTCTGCTGTGTGTTTTATATGGCTCCTGCCATGGTTAACTACAAGAACACTTGAATTAAAAATAGAAACAATCTCACTCTGTGTGGCTTTGTTTCATGAAAGGTATTTGAGTGCACACCTCCATGCCTGCAAAACAGCAGTGAAAGCGAAGGCAAATTTTACTTTCAACCTCTCTTACAGGACTACATTCCTTTGCCTAAATCCAGTTCATGTGACTGTTCTGTCTCCCCTGTATACAACCACACAAGGTCATTACTCATCTGGAATTAAGTTTTAATGGGAAGGCATTGGCTGGAGAGAGAAGGGTTACACTTGATAGCCAGTCCCAAGTACAATTTCTAGTATTATTTTGATGGATATAAACAAAATGTGAAAAGGGAATATATTCCAGCAGCAGCTGGACTATTGCACCCCTGTGTCCACACTGACATATGTATTTCACAGAGGTCTCCTAATTTGCTTTGTTTTTGTGACCCTATGCCCAACATGTATGATATTGATAGTGAAATAAGATGTGCTCTTCCACTCAGAGAAATAATGTCACAAGAAAGTTTTCTTTGTGACACAAGGAATTAACAGACAAAATAGGCTCTGCCTGGCATGATGCTCATCTTGGTGTCTGCAAGGCTGGAGTATCTGCCACTTTCATAACCACAGACTTCCAAGTAGCTGAAGGCTGTTCCTTTTGCTAGTGCCAGTCCTGTGGCTGTGTAATTGCACTACTTTCCAAAACAGCTTCCAAAACACCTTAACCCTCTTTTTTCTTTTTTTTTCTGAGCTGAAAAATATCAGGGGAAGGAATACATGTCACCCCTTTCTTCTTGACTGAACATCTTCCATTTTGCTTCTGATCTAATGTGAATGCACAGAATAGGTACAATTCAATGTGGTCCTGGTTCACTTATCCAGAAAATCCTAGTCAAAGTCAGCAGGGCTTTGTCTCAGTAGATGGCAGGACTATGCACACTTGGCTGAGTTGCAAGAACTGAATTAAGTTTCAAACAGATGATTACTGACATCATGTATGTTAATCAAAAAAAAATTGCAATGAGGGCTCTTCTGCCTTATCAGTAGCTTGTATTTTAGCCACAATGCTAAATTCTAGGGCTTCAAAACATTGTTCAGTTTAGACAAAGTGCATGCAGGTGCTATCCTGTGTGACTCAAAATTAAAGTACTAAAAAGAAACTGTAGCTTCAGCTCCCTTATTATATAGTAAGTTACTCTTCTGACACGCTACTAGCAGTGAAGCCTAGCAAAAAATATAATGTACGTACACGCACATATCATACATGTAATCAAGCTGAAGCAGAGTAATTAGGGGCATAAGATTAAGCTGTAGCTACTACAAAAATTAATTTTATTATAGCAAAGTAACTGAGAAGACTTGATAGATACAAGAGTCACAGCTAAGAAGGAAAAGTAAGAAACTGAAAAAAATACGTGACCATCACCTTTCACAGGCGTTTTGCTGTCATTCACATTCAGGCTGTGTGGTTTCTGTGCTGGCTGTGGTCTTGATGGTGGGCTCACACTGTTAGCTGCCCATCCTAGAATTCAATAATACAGCAGCATTAGCGTGAAGAATTGCTTTGTTAACAACACCCCACTGTCTGACAGCATCAGACAGTGGAGCAGAATATTACATTTATGGCCATTCGTATCTTTCCTTGTATACAAGAAATCAGCAGTCAGATGCTGCAGATGAGCAACATCCTTAACAACAGGTTATCTATGGATCAGTTTCATCATCTCCGGATTCAGGCAACTGTACTCTTTTCAACCCTTTAACCTGGCTAAAAGACATTTTTTGTTTCTTTTACTGAATCACAGTTAATACTCATTCACAGCAAAGCCAGTTCAGTAATAAGTCACACACAGCTGTAGGGAGAAGAATAGCACTTACATGTGGGTGAAAATAACATACATAATCAATATTTTTTCCACCTTTCTTTACTTTTACTGTTCCAAAGTAGTTTCAATTCATCCACTGTTCCAGACAAAACCTTATTCAGAGACCCTAGATTTTTTAATTTTGAAATAATTCTGAAAAAAATTACAGTAAAACACTGAAGAATTAAATTCAAGATGAATTACTTCAAGTTAACTTAAAACTACATTTTAATGAAGTACTTTTTTTGTTCTTTATTTGAAAGGCTCTTTTACAGCAAAGAGATTAACTATTTGGGAAAAAGTGAAACTGCGTATTCACAATTTTTTGTTCTTACCTGCATATTTTATAGCCACAAAGAGTAATGATAAATACAGTTAATGAGGCCAGATGAACAGGCTGGAAAAATGACTAGGGGTGGCATATTGTGGAAACACATTAGGAAAAAGAAAGCAATTTTTGTCCTTGGCTTAAGGTATTTAAATTCTTATTCTTTATTACATTTAGAGGACTGGAGGCTGTATTTATAATTTAATCAATATATCTTTTAAGTTTGGCCTGGTCAATTACCCATCCCTCTCAGAGACCTGGTATATCTAATTTGGAAGTGTCACAAACAGGACTGCTCATCTGTGCACACAGTTAGCATTTCTTTATTTAGTTTCTTTTTTTCTACAAGTTTATGCTTTCATATCCTTTTTTTACTCTTTTTGTCCTTCCTCCCCTTATTTTCTGCTCTTTTGGGACCCCTGTAAGATATTGGTGCCCAGTGTCCTGACAGTTACTGCAACATCCACGTAAGTCACATCATTCCTTCCCCTTTAACAGATTATTCTCACTACTCTCCGATCTTACCTTGACTATGAAAGCTTTGAAGCCCAAGCTGTGCTACTAAAAAGAGTCAAGAAGAGCATTTCTATAAAATCAGATGAAATAGGAAGGAAATTTAAAGCCCACCACAATTCTCTGTATCTCTAAGGAAACTAACCAAAAACTTCTTTAAAATCTGCATGCAGAGTGCTCATATATATTTGTTCTAGACAAAGGTGATAAAGGCCTGTGAGCCAGCCAGAATTTTTATTAAATGCTTTCACAAATTTCACAAATTATGTCTTTAGCGAGCTTTGTCTTTCAAAAACAAACCACAGCCTATCAATTTGAAAGCAGTTGTTGGCCCTAAGCCTGTTTTGGTTTGCCTCTTCACAGGATGGCTTAGTTACATGACTAGACAAAAGGTTATTGCGAGACAGCAAGGAAACCAAACAGTTTGCTTTTCAGTTAGCATCTTCACAAACATTACCACAGTGAAATTTAGAAATGGAAATGGTGAGTTGTGCATCTGCTTATCAACCAGAATTTATGCACACGTAGAGAAGATAAAGAGGAGCCCTTAATGGTGTAAGTAAGTAAATGAGGTCATAAACATCAAGAAAAGAGAAAGTCAATGCTCTCTCTGAAAAAGCAGAAAGGCAGCCAAACTACAAAACTGTATCTGGAGGAGAAGCTAAAAGATTTGTTGGGAGCACACTTTGTTTCTATTGCATATATATATATATATATATACACACATACGTACACACACACATTTATATGTATTTTAAACCAGTACCTGGTGGCCCCATAGCAATTCAAAGTCCCATTGTGCTAGATCCTGCCTATAAATACAGCCAGAGAAAACTCTGAGCTGGGAATTCCTGACCGTAACAGTTTATAACCTGCATAGCATTGTGCCTGTTTTACAGATTAAGATCTGAGGCAGAGAGAAAACAAAGCCCCAAAGATTTATGAGTGTGCTTAACATAAAATAAGTAAGTAATCCCACTGAAGTTAATAGAAAAGTTAATGTGCTTAAAGTTAAGCATGTGAGTTTTAAGAATCTTTATGGTCTTAAGGCCAAATTCACACAGGAAGTATGCAACATCGAGGCTACAGTGTAGCACTTCACACTTAATAATTATTAAGTAATCCTACCACATAGAGGAAAAAAAGTTTAGGAGGTATATCACAAGCCCTCAGTAAAAATATAATCCCTATGTTCTAATATTTCCTACTTGTATGTCTAGATATGCTTATACATCAGTTAGTATTTTGTTAAAAAAAATAAAAATCTCTGTTCCCTGATATGGTCAAATCTTATTATTGATAAGGTCAAATTATGAAAGAGACGTTGTGAAGTGAAATGAAATGTAGTTTAAGATTAAAGCTGAGTTGTCACTAGATATAAAATGGACCAAATTTCACCTTCTGTTAAAAAATAAGAAACAAAGAACTTAAAAGGAAAAATAGCCTATGAAAGTTAGTTTAAGTCAGCTGGGAACATGCTGATTATCACATACAATCACTCAGCTTATTAGCCCTGACTTTTCAAATGCCAGTACATCAATTACCATGATCTTCTGCCAAAGCCTTGGAAATCCATTGGAATACATCAACATATTTTGCTCTTCCAGTACAGATTTCTTTGTATTTTTAATTCAAAAATATTTTGGGATACCATGTTGACTGGACTGGATTTTCCATTTCTAGTGTTCCTTGAATGCAACATAACCGAGTTCTGATTTTGCAGCCAATGCCAGTGCCTTGTGCAAATGAGAGCTAACAGCTGCCTCAGAAAGGATACCCAATCCTGCTTGCTATTTATCCCTCAAAAATATTCTTTCCTACAAAAACATATTTACATTTAAAAATGTAAATTACACTGATATGTAAAATACATTTAAAAATATGTAAATCTGTGGAAAACCCCCTAATCTCATAATAATTCTCTTGCTATTTTCAGTAACTTGCTTAAAATTGTGGATCTTATCATAAAAATACATCTAAAACTTTACATCATTACAAATGTCATTCCCCCATTTTCCAACTAAGTGCTGAAGTCAGTGAACCCAGATATCTTGCTGTAGGGGTGCTGCTGGTAAGTGTATTAATTATGAAGTAAATTTGACTTTCTTATTTTTGCCAAAATGTCACAGGTCATTTTACATCATGTATGATTCTGCCAGTTGCACGGGTTCCAAGAAGAAGTCTTCAGGATAGAGTCAGCCTGCTAGCCCTTCCTATATCACTCTCCCCCAGGTGAAATCTAAATGACTTGGGACAAAGCCCAAAAAGACAAGGTCCTCCTCCAGCCTGCAAAGCCCTAGGAGAAATCTAGCCAGGCTGTGGGAAGGATGAAGGTAGTCACTGCTGGCTGGTTATCACCCGCCTATCCTTCCTGCCTCCCTTCCTCAAGGCCAAAGCAGCAGCAGGAAAGCTCTGCCCTAGTTCCCCTCTTTCTTTCTCCCCCAGGAGCAGCAGCTTGGAAAAGCCAAGAGAATCAACTGCATAGAAGAAAGAGGAGAGAAAGAGTTGCATCAGTAAACAGACTGCAAGAGGAATCCACCTGTATGTTTGCTAAGATGAGACAACCCGTTCTACCTTACCCGTATCTGTACGTGCAACGCGTAGGATGCTTTGGAGAAAAAAAGTGAATGAGTGCAATTGTTTTTCACTATATTGTTTAAAAACACTATCCCCAGACAAAATTCAGTAATTATTTTTAGTTCCCTGGCCCCTTAACAGAGACAGCAGTTGTGATTTAAACAGTAGAACCCACTCAAACAGATTTTCTGTTTCAGGGAAAAAGATATCTCAAAGACCCACAGAACATTTCAGGAAGCTCAATGAAAACATTCAAGACAGTAATCTTGACTTTAGATTTTAGGTACTTCATACTTCACACATACTAACAGGACGAGATGAGCTCTCACCATGTAAGGACGACTGCAAGTCATTCATGTTTTGGTCTAGCAGCTGTGAGGGCAAGTAGCCTGATGGTGCTGGTACCATAGACGATGAAGGGTTCTCCCCATCTCTAGTTGAAGAGTTCGTGGTGAGATCAGCAACCTGTCCAAACACAGCTGTCCACTCTTTGCTGAATTCTCCCTCATCCAGGGAGGAAGCATTGAGGATCTCATTCAGTAATACCATGTCATCCTTATCACCAGGTTCTGGCTCCAAGGACCTCACAAACTGTTCCTTTGAAGCTGTCTCAGAACAAGAGAGTCAAGAGAAATAATTTTTTAGACAAAGAAGGAACTTCTTAAGAAATAACCAATCTAGGTTTTGTATGTTAAGTGAGATGGAATATTTTTGCATGAATATTTGTTTTCTTTTTTAGACCCAATTCTCTTGGACATCTGGGTTTGTACCTTATGCAACAAATAATTCCTTGATTATCTTAGATAACCTCACTGCTATTAAGACTCACTTCTCATTAAAAATAATACAAGTATGCTTAAAAATCTGTTAAACACACCAACATCAGTACATAGTCTAATATTTAAATAATTGGAGAAGACTATTTTTATGTTGCTTCTAGAAACATTATGTAAAACACCCCAAAAAATCAGATTTGTATAAACTGAAAAAAAAGTAAGAGTTGGGGACTATTCCAAAATTTTGTAAGAACATACTGAAGATCACCTTTATGACCTTCTGACCAATGCTTGAATTATTGGGGTATTTCCCAATGAAAAAAGGTTACTTTAATGCACAGTTAGATTTCTACACTATTCAAACCTGCAGTCATTTTTTACTTCTCATAAGCTGCTGAGAAATAACTGGGGCCCACACTTTCCTTCCGATTCCCTGTGCTAGTTTTTCCAGTACCAGAACTGCAGCTGAAGAAGCTCTTAGATCACTTGAGCCATTACTCCTTAAAAAAAAAATTTCCTATTTTAGAAATGTCAAGTAGTTATATAAAATACACAAAACTGGTAACCAGGATCATAATCCTTTTCCAATATATTTGGAATGTTAAAGAACTATCATGGAACCCCAAGTGTTATTTTACTTGGAAACATTTGGAGCTCCACTGTGGGAGTCTGCAGTTCACAAAAATGGTGGTTAACAAGGCTGATAATGTTACGTTACTGAAATCCACATCAGTTTATCTTAATTATGCCTGTTTCAAACTTGTGGTAAGGCACAGAAGCAAATTCATGTTTCCACAGTTGGGGTAGATCAGCTCAGCTTTCCAAGTTGCATACAACTTACAAAGATGCTTTTTAACCCTTTTGGGTTGGGATAAAAGCTTGAGTAGCAAAGTGGTTGCAACAGGCCATTTTACTGAAATGCAACAGAATTCTCAGCAAAGTTTCCTTTTAATAGCTGTAGTAATTTATCATTAAATGATTGAAGTTGAGTCAGAGGAGGAAAACAAGTGCAAAACTGTGTTTTAAAATAGACTCATGCGTCAGCACACACACCTACGTACTAAGAAACAGATAAAAAAACACACAATAGAAGGATTTTATTCATTACTGGAGTCAGTTGTGAGATTCAGCTCCTTTATAATTCACATTTCTATATACATCTGTATTCCCTGATAGGGCCTAAAAATTAGAAATAGAAACATTACAAACACATCAATTCTCCTGATGTTCCCTCTAGACTGTAACTAAAATACCATTGAAAACAATTTATTCTCCTGAATTTTCAGGCTGTTTTTCCATCTTCAGATAAACAGCAAAGAAAATCAATGTTGTCCAAGTATCTACAACTCCTCCAAGTTATTCAGCAGGTGAGGCAGAGGAGTAAATCCTCCCATAGGGGAAACACACCTGCTATTTCAAAGGCACTTAAGAACTCTGATCTCTATGGGGCACCATCATCTCAAAGCTGCTTTCAGGAAGCTCCTTCATGAACTTGGAAGGTCTGCAAGGGTTGATGCAAGGGGAGCAGCACTTGTAACAGATCCGCTAAGACACCGCCAACACCGCACCTAACCACAAGTGCCCCAGAGCGGAACAGTTGCAGCAGCACAGCTCAGAGCAAAGCCCTGCCCTGCCGGGGTAACCACTGCAGGAGTCCTGTTCTTACTGGAGGAGAAAGTACAGCATAGAGCTTCACTTCTGAAGAGCAGTTAGATCTTGCTGCAGTGTGTAATGACCACCAGAAATCTGAGGAGTGGCACATTTCTTGGCTCAGCAGTCTTTGTGATGTTCCCGTGGGGACTGTGCGCTCGCAGCAGGGGAGGGCAGGGTGGTGTTTACGCTCAGGCTACCTCGGGTAAGCAGCAGCAAGTTCTACCCTTGTTTGCAGTAAAGGTTATCTAGAAACCAGTCTTGCTTACTGAGATATTACTTATGTGGTATTTCTGCTAGATTACCAGAATGATATGGACTCTCTCACTTCACCCGTAAATCTTCTATTACCTCTTTTCCTGTTTCTCTGTTTTCACTGCCCATTTTCAGACAAAATCCTTTATTCTGTCTGCACATGCTGCCCCTAACCTTATAAATGTCCATGAAAAAAAATCCAAAACTTCCAATAAACCACTGAAAGAACAATGTCACTACATTCTTTTCCTAGTTGTTTGAACAAGCCTCTAGCAATGCACATATTCCTTTGCAAATGTGCCTCATTTTGCGCATATTAAAAAGAAAAAAAAGTGAAGAGTAACTAAAAAATAATTACAACAGTACATGATTGGAAACACAGGATAAAGACTTCCTTCTGAAACACACATGAAAGTGTACCTCTAACCATACTGGTTCATTTAAAATAGTACAATATTCAATAGCCTGAAGCTAGTTAGTGTGTAAAATGAGGGCAAATGGCTGATATTTAAAAGTGCCATAGCCATCCTTAGCTGATGCAGACACTACACAACAGTTTTTGTATCAAGGTAAGTATTTGACTAAAGAAAGAAGAACGGCACAGCTAAACTTGTATGAGCAATAATTACATGCATTTTCTGTATCTCTACTAAGAAGGCCCAACAAGGAATGGAACTGAGTAAGAAGAAAACCATGAAAAGAAAATGCCACTATCAGACAAGCACTGACCTTTTTTATTAACCACAGAAAAGAAGTCATTGCTACCATATCTATCCACAGATTAGGGCTGATTCTGCAAAGACAGCTGAGGAACTATCCCTGTTTCTGCCTTCATGGGTGATTCCCCACATGGATAATTTCCCCCCAGTGCAAGAGAATGCCTGTGGCAAATCCAAAGTCAAGGTGTTTGCAAATGTCCTTACCTACCATGAAGGCAGAGTCTTAAACACAATTACGCTCTCAGTCTGACTAACTAAACCACACAAAGGGATTTTTTTCTTTGCTTCATTTGCTTTTTGAGTTGCCACAGTTGTTTTTGTTGTTGAAGTTTTTTTACTCATTCTTCTGAGATATATGAGTGAAAAGCAAATGAAAAATTATAGGCAATATTCTGACTTCACATGAAAACTGAATATAAAATTTTACCCAGATCTTTCATATGTTATATGGTAAAACAGCACATTCTCTTGAGCTATCATGGAAGCATAAGGACAGCACAATGGATTTAATTCACTCTCTGGCTGGAAGAAGTCACCAGTTCTTATATGGTTTTAAGAGGACTAAATCATTTGTTTCTGATATGTACATTTCTAACAAAAAATTCTTGTGGTTACTAGTGTATTCCCAGGAGTTGTAGTTCAACAACTAAAGAACCAAAAAGAAAAGTTTGTGAAATGTTATAGAAGGGGTAATTTTTACAGTGGAAACCACTTCAGTGGGGCAAACAGGATATAGTCCAGTCTACCTGATCTTGAATCAGCCAGTACAAAGCATTTTATCCTCAGTAACGTTTACTTCATGTTATGACATCAGGAATAGTGCCTCTGCTGGGTTTCCTCTACCACTACCTAAATACTGTGGTAGAATAATTTCATTCAACCTTTCAGAGTGTGAAAACACTTAAGAACTAAGATTAAAGTTACACTTGGTGATTATGATGGAAAAGCAGATGAAACAGACATTCACAATTATTTCATACCATTTTCTTCAGGTTGCAGGTCTAATAAGTCATCTATGGCACCTAAAATTAAAAAAATAGAAAGAACCAATAAAAATAAAATTAAAAGCAACACAGGAAGATCGATGGCACACTGACAATCAGTATGTATATATCTAAAAGTAGTTTTCTTAAGTTTCTTCACCTGAGTTTTGCTTATGGTTACAATTTCCTTGTAACATGGACATGACATCCTTGCCATCGTCAGCTGTAATCAAGATCCATAAACACGTCTAACTGCACTTTGCAGGAGACGATGCTTATAAACAACATCACTATAGGATCAACATGCAAGGTTGTTGGTATTCATGTTTTAACTGAGTCATGTTTGAAAGAAGCCTGGTCACAATGGATGAAAGAGTCAAGATACAAGCATTTTGAAGAAGTGAGGCAAATTTCTGACTAATAACCTGAGGGGGATCTTCCTTTGAATCCCTGCCTGCCACCGTAGGTCCTCTCCAGCCTGAGTGCACCCAACTGAGGCAACTGCAAGAATCAGACAAGAATCTCCTGTCCTCCAGAAGCAGAGACATCTCTTTCAGAAGCTTGTACTTAGATGGGCCAGGAGGGAGCACAAATGTGCTGGGACCTTGTCACTCTCTAAATACTGCCTGCCTTGGCGGTATGTTTTTCCTCTTAACACCAACACTGGGAATAGGGAAAAAGAATCTTCCCACAAAGTACCCCAGGTCAGGATATAAGTAACATCTCCTCTTCAGGAAAATAAATGGGCTAAGACCAATGGGAGAGAAAATGTATACCTGAGGGTTATAGCCTATCAGAGGTGACAAAACAACACTACCTTAAATTCTCAGCAAGTTTCTTGGATGAGACATGAAGTCAAAACAATCATCTAGATTCTGTCTATCAGTGAAGAGAAAGACTACCCTCCCACTTAATACATGTAGCAAAACAGAAGGGATGAGTTACCTGCTGAACATGCCTTTCTCACACCATTAACCCTTGAGGAAATTTAGCTCCTAGACAACTAAGTTTGTAGCTCTAAAAGCAAAGGAAGGGTTTGGTCACAGTATTGCCAGATCTGGAAGGCCCATCTGCTGGAAGCCTCACATGAGAGGCTGGAAAGGAGAAATAAAACTCTCTACAGGGGAATAAAAATTGAATCCCAAACCCTTTCAAGAGAAATGCTAAAAACTTCCAAGAGAAACTTCAAGGTGTGTTCAGAACTAAAGGAAACAGAATAGCTTGCTGTTTATATAATTTTATTTTTATAAGGCTTTGCTAGGACAGAAATGTGCTATCAGAAATAGAATCAGCTGGTCATTTAAGAACCCATGATCACATCTGATTGCACTCTCTATATAGATACAGATAGGAGAGGCATAAACACACATGACCAAATATACATGATGCTTTCATAAAAGGACAGAGCTAAAGGGGGAAAAAGACAATCCTAGACTGACTGGTAGAGGGGAAAACAAAATCAGAAAGAGAAGTTCATGACAGGTGGGATATGGATGGCCACAATTCTGTAATGAAAAAGGTACAGCTGTGCTGGAAGCCTGCCTTAGTTGAGTGGTAAACAGCATGGACACAATCTTGACGACATCCACAGTATATTAAGACAAAATGCAGAGAAAATGATAAAAAAAATGCAAGTTATGAAGTAGAAGTAGTTGGTGAGGAAAACTAAGAAGCAGCATGGCTCCCTCACTGGAGGCACTATATCCGTACGACTTTCAAACATGAAGGGTAGTTTAAGGAAAAAAATCTTAGCAATGGCACAGACCTGCTAGTGTATGGAGATGGAGATGGAAAAATTTAGCAGAGCAGTTAAAAGTATTTCAAAACACTTCAGTTCCTTTTAGGGGTGATGGAGAAAGAGACAGAACAAGGTATTTATATTATGGTGAAATATTTTACAGTCCATAAGTAACTGAGATTCTAGAAAACATCTGCTAAGAAAATATAAATCAGATTTTGTACCCAAGAATATTAAAATATTTTGTCAAAGATACATGTGGTGTGATTAATTGTGAAATGGATGAAACTTCAAAACACTGGAAATGTCCTAATATTGTGTCATTACTAGAAAAAAAACCCATCAAAACAACAAAAATAATTAAAGAAGGTGACTCAAGTAATTGTAGGTAACTCTGGGCTGGTAGCTCACCATTACTCCTAGTTAAAACACTAACAGAATGCCATTCAGTATAGGATTCAGCAAAAGAACAGGAGCATACTAAATGCTCCTATAATAATTTACTGCTGTTTTTATGGAAAGCAGATCTATTTAAAAAAAAAACCACAACTAATTTATTTCTTTGATAAAACTGTGAGCTATTTTTCAGTAAAGATATTTGTTTAGAAACAACTTGACTTTGCACTGCAGAGCCTTCCAACTAAAAGTTAGCACTGTGTAACATGTATAATGAACATATTGAACGGATTAGGAATGTGACAACTAACAGATGTCAAAAACACATTGTTAGGAGAAATAATTGCAAAGTAGAAGTGTTTCTAGTTTAGATCTGCAAGGCTTAGTGTTTTATCCATTGCTATTCAATGGCTTTAGCAGTCATCTGGAAGTAAATACAAAATCACTCTCGAAAAAAAACGTGCAAACAACTAACAGACTATTAGAGGTGGTCAGTCAAGCCAGTCAATCAGTTCCTGTAGTCAGAGCTGGGGGAATTTAATACCACCAACTTGTAAGTTATATCTCTAGGCATAAGGAACATAAGCCATGTTGTAGAAAGGATAAACGAGTCCTGGAAAGCTGTGACCAAAAGGAACTGAGTCTTGATAAACAACAATGAGTTTTAAACTTGATGTTGCAGAAAAATGAGATATCCCTCTTGGATCTAGAAATAAGAATGTGATTTTACTTTCTAAAAACATGACAAGTGACAACAATATCAGAAATCTCTTGTACAGTTATATATTTGAAAAGCAATTTGTAAAGTGGAATGGAAACAAAAACTACAAAAATAAAGCAGAAGATGTCTTCAAGACATCAACATTGTGGGTTCCTTCCAACTTGGCATATTCTGTGATATGGCTAGCCTGTTGAAATAAAGATTTGAGAGGAGTCTTGATTTGCATGTAGTATCTTTTAAGTATCTTTATGGAGGATAAAATACAACATATTAAAATTACTCTCCATTAATTTAGTAGAAAAAGATATATTAAAAGCCATGAATTGTTTAGGCTGGAGAGACCTGTGGGGGTGATCTTATCCAAGCCCCACAGCTATGAAGTTATTTTGCCTTGAAGATCTCCAGGCATGAAGATTCTACTTTTCCCAGCACTTGGTATGTACTCAAAATTTCCCTTCCTGTCACTTGTGCCCGCTGCCTCCCATTCTTTCACTAGGCACCTCCAGATGGAGCCTGGCTGTGTTACTGTGTAATAAACAAACCATAAGGTCATTGGCAGCAGCTGAATATGACTTTGCCTGGCTTTTGGGCAGAAGTTCCACTGAATTCATCAAGATTTTCACAGAGTACATGTTTAATCACTGGAACAAATTAGTGAGCTTAGTGGTACACTTCCATTGCCTCAACACCTCTTAACCTGCAGAACACTTTCTTGAACAGTATGTGCCCAAGGTAAGAATCAGGCTTTGGAAGACAAGGTATTTGACCTATCTGAGAGTGACTGAGTGAAATGCAGTGGGATGTAACATGTAAGAGATTAGTTTTAATAGATCTTCCTCGCCTTAAGTTTTATGTGTTTGTAGGGATTTGCTGGGTGAAACTGATATAGGAAATAAACAAAACAACCCCCCCTCCATGTTTTACAGCACTTATGGAGTTATGATAACATGAGATAAAATACCTGAATAGTTCGATTCCTTGCTATGGCTCTCCTCTTCTAATGAAATCAACCTTAATTTGAAGGAATAAGAAAAAAGATTGAGAAATTAATTCTAGGGTTCTAGAATAATAATAAAATTTTCTCTTTTAGGTCATATTGCTACAGAATCACATCAGTTATAACAGATGGACTCTTGTATTTGCTGTATACCCTGGTCTGTTGTTACCTTTTATTGTTTCATTGGTAGACGTCTGTTGGAAGTGAAAATTAGATTGAAAGACCAACTATCAAAACCTACCATCCTTCTATTTTTAATATAACTAAATCTGTAATGAAAAGAATAGTACAATCTGCTTTTCCACATTTGGCCGTTCATAGCTATCATGGAGATACAACTGCTCCCCCTCTCTCCACCACCCTTCAAAAAAAAAAAAAAAAAGTAACCAAAAAGAAACCAACCATTTTGCCCTTCTCTTTTTAACAGCAAGTAATTAAAAATCAAAAGTCAGGTGAGTTTTGTCCCATGTCAGCAGATGTCTAAAGGAACATATCAGCAGTGTTGATGACATACACTCTCAACAGGAAAAAAACCCCCTGTGGTTTACATCTAATTCTTACACAAAAGTAATCTCTTCAATGAAGAATATATATTTTCTAACTGCTATTACTTTGTGTAAAAACATTCAAGGAGTTGGGAACGAAGCAGTCACAAGGCTGATATGGTGCTGAAAAGGACTGTGTAGGCACATTCCTCCTATCTCTAGTGGCAGGACAGAAGGAGACATCTCCCAACCTCTTGAGGTTAGGCTTGTGGTAAAGTCAGATTCAGGCCACATAATGAATGTTTACTGTGAATGGAAAGTTCACAAGGACTTTAAAAGCTTTGTTTTGTGTAATTCTTCTAGAATCCTAGATGTTTATTTAAGATTTTAGACAGCAAAATGGTGACCTTTTTTTTCCTCCCAGTTTTATGACACACAAGGTAAAAGATAATCCAAAAATCTATAAGCAAAACCCATTGCAACCATAACATGGCATCTGATGCATTTGCTGGTAGGTGTCAATGCACATATCTTGCATAAATCACACATTCATTCTAGAACTTTATATTCAACATTGAGGAAAACAGTTATTTATTACATAATCTCACATGAGACGCAACAGATTTAAAGAAGTGCCAAATGGTACTTGGTCAAGTCCTTTCTGATCTGAATAACACCAAATCTGACCAATTTATAAACTGGTTTTGGTTGGTGGTTCTGAATTTAAACCAGAAAGAGGACTGAAAACCTGAACTCTTTCAAAATCCATTATTATAAATGGCTGAGCAAAATCCACTAATCAGTCAAGCTGTTCTCTGCTTTTTGACAACTGATCCTTTGCTGGGTACTTCATTTAAGCAAGGACAGTCAAAACAACAGGTGGCAGCAGGATTATATCAACATTGCATCTCCTGGCAACTGAACCCTGATGGTCAGGTAGGGGAGAGATCACATCTCGTTCTCCCGTTCTCCTCTCCCCATAGCAGTCCATTCATAAGTCTCTCTCACCTCAGAGTTACAGGTAACTCAAACCTTGACAGCACCAGCTCACTTAGATGTACTTTATACTAAGTACCTACTGCTTCATTGGATTACTAACTGATGGTGTATACATTACAAAAACTAATTGCTGCTCAGAGCAATCAGTAATCTATATCCTATCCCCAGGTGAAAGGAGATGCTGCTGAAAGGTGAAATACAAAGCTCATATATCTTCTCCCATGTATAGCTGTTTATCATTTCTTTTAATAAAGAAAAAATCAAGCAAAAGCTGAAAAAATTAATTAGAAGGCTAGGAAAGATGAAAAACACATAAAGGTTTAATGGGTCTTTAAAGCTCTTAATTTCACCAAAAAGTTTATTAGTTTTCACACATTACAACATTTCAGGAATTCTTGTATTGAGCTAACTAGTAGGATTAGACTAGCTGTGTCTTTATGTCTACTTCCAATTTTATTTTAGAATTACTTATAATTCTACTTATATTTCTACTTACTTTTGGTGACTTTAACAACCAGGAAGAAGATTATAAACAAAAATATTTTTTTTTTAATATATAGGATATGTGACTTACTGACTCTGCTGATCTTCCACTGAACTGTTGCTTTCAATCTGCTGGTCCTCCTTTTCTGCTTTTTCTGTTAGTTTATTCACAGGATCTTGCAAGCTCTAGACCATAACCATAATATAAACAAAGAGAAGAAAACAAACTAGAATCAGGGAAGCAAAAGTGTGTCATTTAAGGCCAAATCAGATTATAAACCCCACAAAATTAGCAAGAATGGGTTTTGAGCTATATCTGACTCAATGAAGCAAAATTTAAAAAGTGGCGAGGTGGCACTTGCCACTTCTAAATTCATGTTCTGTTTCAAATATTTCTCAGTAAATATCTGCAATATTTCTAAGTCAAGCAATCTATACTATGTGCAAAGCAGGCACCAAGAGCGTGTTTATTTGCTGTTTTGGGGTTTGGCCTCTTTTTTTCCTCCTTGTTCTTGTGTTTTGTTCTGTGGTTTGTTGTTCTTTTGTTTGTTTGTTTTTGGTTGTATTTAAATATGAGAAAAAATAAATCTTAACATCTGTTTGTTCATCATATACTGCTTCTTTTCTTATTTATTCTCTTTTTTTCCTCCACAACTATTCACACGAACTTGGCTATTACAGTGAGAATCTGAAAACAAGGGTTAAAATCTTGGAAGATTAGTCTGATAGAAGCCAGGTGTGGTATTATGAAACCCTACTGTCCTTTTGCAATCTGAAAGACCATGCTACAAGACAATGATGTGCAGTTTCATGGTCACCATTTTTATAACAAAAATTTGAACAAGTGAACAGGCCAACACATAAAGCATTACAGACTAACCCTTTGAAGTGATAAATATACTACCAGTTGCCCCTGTTATGCATTAATTAGGAATTCTGTATGAAAAATTGAAAAAATGAACACAGTAATTAAGTAATAGCTGAAGTTAGCAATGTGAATATTTGTCTGTATCAAATGGTTTTGCTCTGAAGGTGAAAAAATTTTCCCCTTTCCAAAGCCCAACTCAGTTTCTGAAAAATAAAACCATGTTTCATGTGAATAGTCCCAACCATTTGCAATTCAATTTATTTATGATGTCACGTTGATGGTCATAGTAGTGCCTCTCACCCCAACTTCTCCTTCTGCCTCCCAAAAAGCTAAGGGTAAAACAAAGAAGTGACTTTTTGTGCAAAACATAGCAAACACAAAATGTTTCACCTGGAAATTGAACAAAACGATAGCACGTTTCATGAGAACTGTAAAACAAAGAAAAAAATGTGGCCTAATCTGTTGAATAACAGAGTGCCCAGGCCATCTGTCACAATAAAAGTATTCCCAGACATGTTGCAGGTCTTGTGTGCACTGTCCTGTTAACCAGGACAGAGCAGTCCCCAGAAGGGGCATTCCAGTTTCTGCTTGGGTCAATACTTGTCTGTATGAGGAAATCTACACTTCAGCGTTTTAGAAACCAAACTTATGGATGGATCCTGTACTGAAGTTGCTTTTTTTCCCCCCCTTTCATTAGGCTAATTCTATCTGGAACTGGTGATTAATTTGTCATAAGCACCCTTAGCATGCAGACATAATAGTCAAAAGATGAGGGATCATAAAGCAGCAATAATAAAGAGAGGCATTAAAAAAGCTTACCTTATTCTGTGATTGCTACTTTTTTTTTGACACTGTGACAATGTTAACCAGAATCACATGCAAGTCTACTTCTTGGATTCTGAATAAGGACATTATACAGCTCAGCTAGATCACCTATGAATGAATGTTACCCTTTTACATGGATTTGTACTGGGTATTGATTCGAGTGCACTTCTCGTACTATTAAAATTGATGGGCATTATTCCACTGACTCCAAGAAGACCTGTATTAGACTTCAAACACTTACAAATATACAGTCCTTGCACAAAAGTGCAGTGTAAAGAAAGACAGTACCTCTGCATTATGGGGACTGTAATGCTTTGGGCACTTGAACCATCTTGGACACCTTCACAGTAGGACACGCAGTTCACTACAATCAGGAGGTTATGGTGAAACAGCCATGGTGCTCTGCCTGCCACCCAGTATAGCACCACAGAGCCTGCCCCACGAAGGTTGTAATGGTTTTGAACAACAAACAGACTGAGTTCAGACAAAAACAATCACATTTCAGTTGGACATATCCCTGACTTAGTTGTTCAGAGCAGACAGATGTGTAGCTTTACTCTTATGGCTGCTCACATGGACTAACATGGATTTTGTTGTGAGCTACGCCAGTACGTGGCTTAAAGTAGGATCCTTGCATGTTTAGAAAGCTATCTTCCTAGCTTCCATAATTTCTCTTTCACTATAAAAATAAGACAGTACACACTAGCAGAGTAGGTTCACAGTCATTCACTCTGCCTAACCTGTCTCCCTGCAACACCAAAAGTCATCCAGTGATATTTTGCTTGCTCACAGTACTCGGACTTAATATCCAAGCTAACAAGTGATTCCTCCCCTGTAGAGTTAATTCTGGTTCCAGCTCAGGCTCCATTCCGAGGCTGACTGCTACTCACTTACTAAATTCCTTCACCTGCATCTGCTGCTTTCAAGTCTAGCCAAGATCATCTGGACTGCACACAAAACCTGCCCTCTGCAGTTAAATCACCAGTGTTGACAACACACTCAGCTCGCCTACAGTTCCCCCCAAGTGCTTTGGACAACTAATGCACCTCTTGACTGAGAAAGAATCAAAGCAACACAGCTAAGGGCAGTTCCAGGAGCCAGGGATGCATCCCAAGACATCACAACATTTATGAAGAAGTGCAACATCGTTGAGGTGACAAAAACTCGAATATATTTCACTTGTGGGGAGAGATAAAAGGGATGTGGAAAAGCAGGTAGTCTCAGAATTTCTTCAGGGAAAAATTACCAAACCTTCCCAAAATCCTTAGAGATATAACATCATAACCAATCGTGCCTATGAATAAAGTTATGGTGTGATGAACAGAAACAAAAAAGCATCTGTTTGGACAGAGTGCTCCAAACCATGTAAGGAGCAGAGGCAGTGGCATTCCACTTTAAACAGAAATAAATGGATGCACTGAGATTTACATCTTTTGACTCCTTTACCAGGGCTATTATTATTTCTAGCCTTGTATGATCTCTTCAGGTCTTATAACGTTGATATGTAAAAAGTGCAAATGAATATTTATTAAGTAACCAAGGCAAATAAATGGTAACAGAAATTAGAAAGAGGTATTATTCATGAAAAGTAGTCCCTGAAAATAAACTTGAATTCATTTGATATAAGTTAATTTTGAGACAATGATACCTTGAAGGCTTTACCAAACAGCAGCCAATCATCTGTAATATTACAGCAATGGATACAGTGACAGATACTTTTACATCACTATACATGGAGTTGTTAGCACATTAATAATCATCTTTCATCAAGCATAAAACTCACAGTTAGGAAATACAGCTGCAATAGCATAATTATACTACTCTCAGCATATACCCTGAAGCAAAGAAAACAAATGGGCTGCTTTTCATTAAGGGAGTTTGGCAAACATCTCTAAAGACAATGTTTTCTTTCCAGAAACAATCCCGAGAGGCATTCCAGAGTCTCTTTCCTGAGGTAAGCCTGGTACATGAACATATATTTATACTACAAAATACAAATAGCAATTTTCCAGTACATAGCACCTCTTAATTTTTCAGTAAGACAGTCTACATCTAAGTCAAATATTAACAGTTTCCTTAATTTCTTGTTTTAAAGTAAAATGCTAATCCTACATACATATATGCTTAGTTTAATTCAGAAGGACCGCTTGTATTAGCAAAATTTTGTCCTTTACAGAATCATAAAAGACAAAAATGATTTGCAAGCATTGAATTCAGAATTTTCTTTTAAGAAGGATGCCTTTTATCATATAAGACAGGGAAAAATATTCTAAAGGAGGTAACTCCCAATTAAATGTAGAAATGGGCACACTGAGATATTTTATGTATATTTTAAGCAATTATATATTATGATTGTATATTTTAATGCATAAAGCCAACAACAGACATAGTAACTTCATTGGGTACATTTTTAGACCGAAAGTTTCTCCATCAGCAACTATACTACCCTAGATCAGCTATAGCCATTTATTACACTTCATTAAAAAATAACCTCAATGCAGAATTAGCTTGCAGCTCCTTCTTAATATATAGTTACTCTGGTATGAACATATGATATGACTGGTAGGGATCAGTTCCCTAACCATAATCATCTATTGTTATTCCACACCCAGGTCTAGCAGAGGAGAGATGGGACTCATGGGAGTCCCACAGCTTCAGAAGTGACAGGTAGGGGTGAGATGACTGACCCTAGTAACGCACCTGAAGTAGCAGCAGACATCTATTCTCTTAGGCAACACAATGTCACCTGGTGCAACCACCAGATTTTGATTTAATCTCCTTGGCAATCATTTAATGTACACAAACAGAAACTAATAGTTGGGGCAAAGAGATCATGGGGAAGACTTTAGTATAGAAAACAATCCCACATTCTAGAGATTGAAAGAAATAAAGAACTGATACTGAAAGCCAGTAACAAAGTCTTACTCCCAAAAATTTGTTTTCTGAAAGCACAGACTTACATGAAATTTTGTAGTATAAAACTACCTCCTGATTAGCATCATTTATCAGCATACATATCACTGCAAAAACAGGAAATCACATCTTTCAGTGCAGGAGGACAGCAATAAAAATGGTTAAGATTCTCATAACAAAGTTAGGCTGCATCCTAAACACACTACAATATTCACAACCATTTTTGCAGATACTTTTTGCATCAAGGGAGTGCTTGTTACATGTGGACTCAATATAGACGGTATTTTTTCATCATAGATTCCCAACCTAATTTCAAATTTAGATTATACTGAAATGTTTCACAGGAGGAACTTCAAAAGATAACAAGCATCCCCACATGCCTCTCATCCTCCGTCATAAGGGTACTTTGCACTCATAGAACGGGTGCATTTTCCATACAAGTTTCTCTCCACGGTATGCAAATGTTACTATATGTCTTGAAACATTTTATGTCTTGCTCAAATAATATTTTTAGATATGAAAGAGAATAAAGAATAAAGACCCAGCAACAATATAGGCTACCTACAAAAATTAGACTGGAATAGCTTTGTGTCAAAGCAAACACAACAAATTCCTCAGAAACCTTTTAACATCGGGAAGTTATGAGAAGAGCCCATCAGCACAGTGCCCAGGCTCCTGAGCAGGACTCTGGTCACACTAAACCCAGGCTACAATGGGAAGCAACAGTGGGGAAGTAAAGGGGACTTTCTTCCCTGGTTTGGAGTTTAATGGGTGTCTCCTGTTGAAATCTGGACATAAACTCTGGCTAAAACCCATCTTCTGTGATGTGGACTATGCAAGAAAGAATCTTAAAGTTATGTTAACTTCATAGCAAATGAGGACTTTTCCTAAAAGGCAGGATTCTTCAGAAGCCGGATAAGAAAAAACAATTTATAAATCTCCTCTTATTTTTGTCCTTAACCAGGAAAGACTGAACTTGAAATTTGGTTGGTTGGTTTGCTGTGATGTTTAAAGCTGCAGAAGTAACAGTCTTCACAAGCTCTTTATGCACTTTAAAGTTCAGAAACTGCTCCCTCCCAACACACGTTCTAGAAAACATCTTTAAACACAGGAGTCATGTACAGACAAGTTTCGTATTCTGGGGTGAATTACACCTTAAACCTTCAGGTGATTCTTTTCCAGGAGCTCTAAGGTAGCCACAGACTATATAGCAGAACACAGCCCAACTTCTACTTTTACATGTCAGATGCACAGGCATTTCAGGGATTGAGGCTATGACTTGTAATCATCTTCAAAATGATTAGTCTCTCCGAGCAAAGAGTGTCTTTGCCACATGCTGTTCATTCCTCACTCTCTTCCCAAAGGTAACCCTTCCATCAGACCTCTGCCAGACATGTTATTTTTCTCCCACGTAAATAGTATTGGCCAATCACATAGTTATTTCATTGCCTCAAATAAGTACAGAACAAATACATCTATGGGGAAGGTTCACAGAGTTTTCCACTGTTTTTCCACTCCTCTAGTGAACCTCAAATTACAACACACAAAGGAACTTCATATGCAGGGACAGGTTTGACCAGGAAAATACACAATGTTTAGGGATTATTTTTAGACACTTCACAAAACTCTAATCTCAGACTTCCATCAGATATTGCACATATGCCACATTCAAAGATTACAAAGGATCAGCAAATACCACTATCAAGCAAAACAGTGTTTCTCAGTAAAGGGTTCAAAAGTGAGTAAACTGTGGGAACCCTTACTCATATTCAGTCTGATAATGTGTTCTTAAAGCGTGTGAGTTTTTAAAAACAGATGCAAAGGCAAAATAGTATTAATTAATTTGTGGGATTTTGGAGAGCAACATAAATCCCTAATTCTCTTGGATTTTACAATTCCTTAGGAAAAAAACCCACAATCCCACTTAGCACTTAAAACACATAATTAAGTGTAGTCCTTAATAACGTCTCCCTTTGAAATATTTCTTAGTCGCTGCACTGTACATGCAGTTTTTGAGCCTACTAGTCAAAAGGATATTAAACAGAGAAACTGTGATTAAATGAAAAGACAAGACAGGAATAAAATTGTCAGACAATATATAGACACAATATCAATGTGTGCTTTCTACATCCTTGTATGATCTTATTTGTTATCACAGGGCAAACATACATATCTATATATTCCTTACCTTTAACATAGTGAACTCATATGGCTGATAACCTTTGAAACTTTCATGGATGGCTGCCATCGTGTGTGAAGTTTTTTCCCAAAAATGAAGCAGTGTTGTCTGTAAGGTAGGACAAAATTTCAATACAATGTTAACTTTAATACAAATCTGGTTTTGGTGCAAATTTCACATTTTCCCTCCAATAATAGTTACATATTCTTGCAGTTGAAAATTGCCGTGGTAACTTTTAAAAAAACAAATTAACAGGAAATCTTTCCTTTGGAAGTCATCATTTTCCTTGGATACCTGATATGTTGTTAACACATGAGAAAGGAGGTTGCATCTGCTCGCTCCCAAAAGATCCACTTTTTGACAGACATCAGTCTTCAGTTTGTCAAAGTTGAGTTTTGCATGTCGCACTTGTGCTTGAACCTTCAAACAAAGGGACAGTTTCTTATGCAATGAATTTTTTCTCCATTTTTAATGAAAGAGCAAGCTAATACAACTTTTAAGGAAATCAGATAACTAAACAGACTCAATTACAACTTCTATTTTCATCAGTCCCAGTCAAATTAAGATATGGTAGGCTGATATATGCTAAAATATGACTCTTATTATCTTCTATGTTATTGTTTTTTGTCATATATTCAGTGAAGAAATGTTGTTTTCTACCCCCTGTTTGTATGATGAATATTAGTATAAAATATATACTAAGAACACTTGGAAAACATATTCAAATTGGTATTTCAATAAATACTAAACTAAAAGTTTACTGCATAACAGACAGGTGCACAGTTGGAGACATGTCCACATACCTGCAGTAACAGACAAATTACGTTGACAAACTTTAAAGTCCATCTGCAACCCTTGTTGATGATATAACACTTCAATATCATTGAACTCTTACAAAAATTTCAATCTTTAAAGTTTTCCTTCTAAAATGGGAGTGCCTTTCCTGTTCATTCCTATCAGAAAAATATCAAGTCCCCTTTTCTTAGGAACTAACAATGTCAATTTGGAAGGGTCTTAGTTTTTCAAATTATTTTTCTACTACCTCTTAAGTACATACACATGTATATTAAGAACATGTGCAACACCCTGTTACGCAAACTGTTCATGCTTGACCACAATACTGGTCATGATCAGGTATCAGGGTAGAAAGTTGATGTAGGTGTTTTTTACCCAGGATTTCCCATTTTTATGACAGCTTTGTACACTACCTGAATACTATATTAACAAAACAAATTTGTTTAATTTCTGTAAACAAATTTTGTTATAGTTTTCTTCCAAGGAAATGGGAAACAATCAAACCACAAACCATTATGAATGTCCTATAACTTTTTCACAGTTACAACAAAATGTTTACCCCAAAAATAAAATGATTCACAGTGGAAACAAACTACTGAATGTAAATTACACATTTCCTTTCCTTTTCTGGCTCAACTCTCAGAGTAAACTCATTTAATTCAGAATATGCAGACTCAATCAAGGATTTGACAAACTTGTATGCTCCTGATCTTCAGAAGTGAATCTGGAACTTTGCAGCAAGTGCCTGTGCTCCCTGTGCAATAAGAACAAATGCCTATTCATAATGCAATCTGAAATGTTATGGTTACCATATTTCTAATCTTATTTTCCCAAACTCACTTTGAAATGCTCGCTTTCAACCAAGCAGAAAACCAGACAAAGATCTGCATCACAAATTCATTACATGACCTATTCATAAAAATTGTGGGACTCTTGGGTTGCTAGATAAGTGGCAACTTTATTTCACTGACCAGGTTGGCTTTGCATAAGCAATATTGTACATTGGCTGGATCTGTTCATAAGGAAGAAACTATCACAATGCAAAATTTCTCACAAATGCAGAATTTTACAGGTGAGATTTTTTTTTTTTTAAATAAAGAGCAGTGTTACTCTACCTTTACAAAAATAGCTTTGTGGTTAGTGCATTCATCTATATGAGGAAGTCTTTCAGGATAACTCCACACATTACACAAAAAAATCACTGAACAAATCTAGTAGTAATAACTACATCTCAAACTTCTGACCTGATCCAGTCTTCTACGTACACAACTACAACATCTTACTGATGACTTGTTTTGTTGTTTTTGCATACTGAAGAGTTCCAAAAAAAGAGGGGTGTCCAGAGATGGAAGAGTTCTTGGGTAGTTAGGAGATACTTTGGTGAGGTTGAGACAGATTTAAATTCCCTCAGGAAGAAGAAAATTGCTCCCCCACTTCTTAGGCAAGCATGACAAATGACAAGCTATGATATAAAAAGCCAGGAGCAGCTACTGCCAAGATATCTCCCTAGAAAGTATGACGTTTTGTGAAAAGCCTTACCCAGCTGGAACTACAGTGGTATGAGCTGAGGCTGCCTCTTAATTTTTGATCCTCAAGGAATGCTACACTACTTTTAGCCTGTGCCCAAGCAAGGCACCATGCTATTGATGCCAGGATTGCCATCCATGCACAACTGTCCAGTCAAAACAGCAGGTGGGAAAAGAGTTTACAGGCCTCCAAAATTAAGCAGCAAGGGAGGAAGATGGGAGCAGTGGCAGAAGGAGTGTAGAAGCTTTATCGAGTGCTGGATAAACACATTTGTCCTGTCAGGTTCTCAGATATTTGCTTTAGCTGCAAGTGTCTGAGAGCAGAGATTTACAACTTCAGTTTAAAAAGGAGAGTTTTGAAGAAAATCACGGGCCTGTGCAAAAAGGAACTTTTAATTGAAATCTAAATATGAGATTACCTGCATCTTTTGCCAGAAAGAATTGCTACAACAGGTAGGGATTTAAGTAAGAGATGTTGTAGGGCTTTGAAAAAACTAATCTCACTTATAGCCATGAAAATCCACAGATATTCAACTGATGTCAATGGAAATATGTCATATATAAAACTATATTTTATAATGGCGCAGCTGAGATCAAAATCCCTTTCCTAGTCAGTATATCACACCACTGCTGAAAGTACAGTAAGAACAGCTGTGGCTTCGTAGACTGAAAGTCCAAGTAAGCAAAGAATGTTAGTTCTGGGGAATATAAATACTCTGTCAGAGATGGTGAGCCACAAGGAAAAAAAAAGTACTAGTAAATGTAATTATTAATTCCTACAATTGCCAGTCTGCAAAAGATTTATACAACAGACTGGGATTTGGGTCTACCTCACATCTCCAGCTCTTTAAAAAAGGAGAAAAAAGTCCATAAAATAAAAACACCTATAAAGTTTGAGTTGTTGTCTTCCTGCATACATTCTTCAGGGACATTTAGCAAGGAAAAATGTCAGCATTTATCTTAACTGCACATGTAATTAGTGTCTCTTTTAAGAGCCAGAGCATTCATAAAGAGGAAGAGGTGACCTACAACACAATGTGGAATACAAACCCATATGTTTGTCATGCTCGTACAGATGATTCAAAATACTTAATGCTGTGTTACCAAATGTCACACATTTCTCCTGCCAACCATTAAATATGTGATACTATGGGAACTATTAACTGAAGGATGCTCTTAGTTATTTTCCATATATTGAAAGTTTATTGAGCAGAAGTACTCTTCTTTTTTCAGCAGCAGTGCAGGACAACCAAGAAGGAACACTGTGAACTACAGCAGCATGACTTTTGCCTTCTACCTGTGCCAATAAATGCATTTTCAATTCAAATTATTATTATACATCTTTTAAGATTACTTGTGGCTTCAGGAATTAGGTATAAAACCTTAACGCTTACAAAGCATAATCTACTTAATACCACACAAGTTATCAGAATGAACCTTTGGTTTTCTACTCAAGGGAAAGCTGATATAATACATACTAATCTTCTCCTTTCTCTGCAATTACTCCCTAAGACATGAGAAACAGGACCTCATTGTGGTCAAAATTTTTATTCATATATTTTAAGTTCATTAAAGTTGAACCTACAAAATTTCTTAAACATCCTGGTCTGAAAACCAACAGAATTTTACTGACTGTAAGAGAACTGCCCTGATTCAAACACAACTAGAACATTTTGTGATGAAAGAGCTTCCAAGCATCTGAAACTGTAGGAGCTAGATGTGAGGTTTATGCTGAGGTTTATTTACAAGAAAATCTTACGGTACCATTGGCATAAAAAAGGTTATTACTCTTTTTCTTTTTCTAAGCAGCAACTTGCTTTTAATTTCCCAATGCAAACATCTATGTACAATATTGATGGAGAGCATATATGAAAACAAATTTGGAAAGCAGTATCTTATCAAATCAATAGTTTGGTAAATTATTAGATGCCAGATAAAACTGAAATAATTCCAAAAGAATATATAAGTAAGCAAATAAATGCTAAAATCCTAAATCCTGGGGGCTCAAAAGTCAGACGCTATAATGCTTGATTGTGAGAGCAAATATTTGCTAACACAGGTTCCTAGGCAGAATCACAGAATGATTCAGGTTGGAAAGGGTCACCTGGTCCAACCTCCCTGCTCAAGCAGGGCCATCCTAGAGCACAGGGCACAGAACTGTATTCAGACAGTTCTTGAACATCTCCAGTGAGGACTCCACAACCTCTCTGAGCAATCTGTTCCAGTGCTCGGTCACCCAAACAGTAGAGAAGTTCTTCCTCAGATTCAGGTGGAACTTCCTGTTCATCATTTTCTGCCTCTTCCCTCTTGTCCTATTGCTTGGCACCACTGGGAAGACCCTGGCTCCATCCTCTTGATACCCTCCCTTTAGATACTCATAGACATTGATGCGGTCCCCTCTCAGATGACTCTTCTCGAGCCTGAACAGGCTCAAATCTCCCAGCCTATTCTCATAAGAGGATCTTTGTAGCTCTCCAGTGGAGCCACTCCAGGAGTTCCATGTCTATCTTGTACTGAGGAGCCCAGAACTGGACACAGCACTCCAAGTGCAGCCTCACTAGGGATGCAGGATCACCTCCCTGACCTGCCAGCAGTGCTCTTCCCAATGCACACCAGAATACCATTGGCCTTCTTGGCCACAAATGCACACTGCTGGTTCATGGACAGCTTGTTGTCTGCTAGGTCCCCATGTCCTTCTCCACAAAGCTGCCTTCCAGCAGGTATGCCAGAAACCTATATTCAAACAGAAAAATCCTAATCTTCAAGCATGCTAACATAAAAACAAAATAGTATTTAGACCCAGTTAAAAAACCTATTCAGTATGTTCAGTTACTAAAATACAGATTTGTCATGTATTTTCAAGGAGTCTTTATGTCCTCTACAGTATATCTGTGTTATTACTTTTTTTTAGTCTCCCATAAAATGCAAAATTTATTTTCAGTAGTAGCCTAATTTCAGGGATGATTCAGCTAGTGAAGCATCATCTCTAAAATTAACTTATGTCAGATAAATGCACTAACTCACTTTACATACAGTGTATTTTTGTCTCAGCATTTCCAGCATAGAAGCAGAAACAGATGCTTTCAGTCTAATTTGTCA